AATGGGGGGAGAGGGCAGAGATGGTCTGTCCACTGTGGCATTTGGGAAGATTTCCAGGCAGCTGGGTGCACCAGTGTGGCTGATATAGTTTGAGGAGGGACAGACAGATGGAGCTGGGTGCCTGGCTGGGAAGACCAACCCAGGAAGACCAGGAGTCCCAACAGCAGGCATCTCTGAGCTTTGCTGGAGGAGGGGACTTCCCCTTCTCTTCTCTGCTTCCTGTCCAAGGAAGGTTGACAGAGCTGGGCAGGTGAGGAAAAGATAGACAATGGCCGGTGTCTGCAAAGGAAGGTGGACCTTTTCAGTAGAGCCCTTCCTGCCCTGGGCATCCTTCTCCCCTCTACTCATATCCATGGCCTTTGTAGAAGGCCCACAGCCATGGTGTCACTGCAGACCACAAAAAGATGGCATGCAGCCACCTGGCATTTTGCTGGGGATGTCTTATCAAGCCTACCTCCTCCATGGGGACCCTGCCACCAGCCCCACAGGGCATGGAGTGGAAACCCAGAGGGACTCAGTTTAGTTGGACACCTCAGTGGGCTTCTGCAAGATGCACAGAACGGGAGGAACAAAAGACAAGGAGAGGCTCCCTTTGTTGGAGCTGGGAAAGAGCAGCGTTGTGAATGCGAACATACACCTTGAGTTTTGCATTTGAGAAAATGATTTGGAGAGAAAGTCCTCTAGTAATTTTAATTTTGACTGTTCAAAGCCTTTCTTGTCCCCAGTAATTCTCCTTGAGGGGCTGGGGGTTTGTAAAAGTTCTCTTTAATTTGCCTGAGCACCGTGATACTGTTAAATGTGGAAATCTTGCAGAATGCCCATTTTTCCAGATTACTTTCTAAGAAAATGATACCAAGGTAGACTCAGCTTTTTGAAGATGGGGGATGGGGGTGGTTAGGGCAGGGCATCGAGGAGAAATCATATTTTACACAATGCACTCCCACTTCCCCATTTTGGCACACCCCATCTAGACATCATTTTTCTCTCCCTAATAACCTGATCAGAAATTTTGGAAAAGTGCTTTGAAATAGCAGCAGTTGAAACAGAGACACTTGGCCAAGGCGTGGACGGGATTTTCTCACTGGTTTCACACGGCCTCGCAGCTTTGAACCCTTCCGCCGATTTGTGTGGGTTTATGCAATCGTGTGCAATGAACCCGAAAGCGTGTAAAGAATATAAGTCCAATTTGTAGGGTTGTGTGGTTTTCTTCCAACTTGTGAAAAGCGGTTTAGCCTCATCTGGCTCCCCCCGGCCCCACCCCTGGACTTAGGTTACAAGGTGATCAAGGGAAAGGAAAACCCGAGCCCACCTGGCTGGGATGTGGAATTCAAGCACAAGATCACGTTCTCGGGGGACACGTGAGTGGGACAGTGACAGCGTGCCTCAGGGAGAGTCCGAGAAGCACAAAGCGGGCTTGCCTGGGCCTGTTGAGGGGCGTGCACGCTCGTCCCCAGGCTGGGTGGACTTCAACTTCCAGCTGAGGTTGAGATGAGAGGATCTCTGGAGAGCAGCTGCTCGTGCACGAGAAAAATGCTGAGGTCCCAGGTCTGAGGTTTGGTCTGAGACATGCCAGTGCTTCAAGGACAAATCTTTTCACCCTTCCTCCCTCCCCAAAAGAAAACAACACTCTGTCTTAGAAACCTGCAGCTAAAGACATTTTGTCCTCATATCAGTGGCCCATCACGATCCACCCCCAGTCTGTTCTTCGTGTGAAAAGGCCTGGACAGGAATTCTTTCCTGTGGACTTGGGTGGTTATTTCAGAGCATCAGGAGAGTGGAAGGAGAAACCCACCACAGAAGGGGAAGAAGCTCTCTTCAAAACGATGCCACCCCCAAAATGAAAAAAAAAAAACAACCCACATCTCATTTCAAAGCTTGGTAACACGGGGAACAGGGTGTCACAGTTACATCTCCATGAGAGAAATTTCTACGGAAATGGGGGGATTTCAGTGTCTCCCAGTGGCCAAAACCGTGGTAGGAGGAAGGAGACAGGAGATCACCGTCAGCATCTTTGATACAGCAGCATCCATTTTCAAGTTTCTACTTAAATTGTTTTTACCCGAAGTCCGTGCCCCCCACCCCCCGTCACAGAGGAGGTCACCGGCCACAGGTCCTTTGTGTTCTAACTGAGCACAAAGCTGCATAAACTACGGAGGGAAAGCTGCAGTCTCCCTCGGAGCCTTCCCGACAGGTCACAGACCTGTTTCCAGGCTGACGTTTCTGGTGTGTAATTGCTAGTGTTTCTGTAGTGGTCCCCCCCTTGTTTTAGCCTTGTGGAGTGTTCTTTTCTTAAGCATAACTTTGCCTTTTCAGTGATGGTACCTGACCTGGTTCAACGTTTCATTCTGGACTTACAAACTGATGCGTTTAGGCATCTTAACATAATTTGACAGAGCCCCAGTAAGGAGCCGTACATTTTTGTAACATTTTGATATGCTTTAAAGCACCTGACTTAGATGTTTTTGAAATAAAGCACTTTTCAAAGAGAAGTGCCCCCATGGATGGTCTCTGTGTGGCTGGGGTGGGGGGCTCCATGTTGTCTCGGGTGACTGCAGGCTTGGGGGCAGGAATGTGGCCGTGTACCCAGCAGCTGTCAGTTTTCTTTCCCAGAGTTTACAGTTTCAGTGTGTTTGAGCCTTGGCCGTAATGTTCCAAAGGGGAATTGAGATGAGAAAATCCTCTTACAGGTCTCTAGCTGAGGCCCCGGGGGAGCCAGGTGTTGTGGAGAGAGCTGGAAGCTATTATTCTGCGAAGCTGGCTTTTCACCCTGACTCTACTCCTTGCTCTTTAGGACCCTGACACCAACTCATTGAACCTTTTTCTAGGTCTTGGGTTTTCCGACTTAGAAAATGGCCAAGCCATAACCTGCAGGGACCTCGGGACTTATCTCTTTTGAAGGCAGCCTCCCAGTGGTCCTAAGCATAAGATTTTCAGTTCCACACTATTGTGTGGGGAAGGTATAAGGGTTAACTTTACATGTTAATTTGGCTGCGCCATGGTACCCAGATATTTGGCCAATTGTTCATCTAGATATTGCTGCGAAGTTATTTTTGAGGTGAGATTAACATTTAAATCAGTAGACTTGGGGCAGATTACCCTCCACAGTGTGGGTGGGCCTCGTCCAATTAGTTGAAGGACTTAAGAGAAAAGACGTCTTTCCAAGGAAGAGAAAGCTCTGCCTGCAGCATGCCTTTACAACGTTAATCAGGTGAGCCAATTCCTGAAAACAACCGCCCTCCGCCACTCACACACACACACATCCTCTCTGTTCTGTTTTGGTTTCTCAGGAGAACCCTAACGCAGAGAGGTACTGTGGTTGGTAAGTGGCTAATGGTTGTCTTCATAGGAAACCTAGCTGTGAAGCATAATGACCATCATAACCCAGCTTCTAAAAGAAGTAACAGAGGTGGGGCGCGTGGCTCAGGTCTGTAATCTTAGCACTCCGGGAGGTTGAGGTAAGAGGATCACCTGAGTTCAAGATTAGCCTGAGCAAGAGCACGACCCCATCTCTACTAAAAATAAAGAACCTAACTGGGTGTTGTGGCAGGTGCCTATAGTCCCAGCTACTTGGGAGGCTGAGGCAAAAGGATCACTTGAGCCAGAGAGTTTGAGGTTTCTGTGAGCTGTGATGCCTCGGCACTCTACCCAGGATGACTCTGTCTCAAAAAAATAAATAAGAGAAGGTAAAAACCAAGGTAAGATTTTTAATGATGCATATGTACGTGACATAATGTTTATATAAAAGAAGAGAGAAAGGTTTGGATAAATCACATTTCCCTTTGAGTGTTGTTTCAATTTCCTATATTTAGAGTTTTTAGTCCAAAGTGGTAGCGTTTGAGTTGCAGCCTTAATAAAGTTGAGTGAAATAGATAAGCAGTGAGTTAACCCTTCCAAGGCAGTGAGACTTTATACTGCACATCATGGGGTTGTGGGTGATACAGACAGGAGATAAATAGTTCCTTTAGGGGTCTCACCAAGACCCCAACCAGGCAGTAGGCCTGATAGAAGCTAGCATGTCTAAAATCACCCAACAAATTCTAGTAATTGTCTTCACCAAAGGAGCCTGCAGTTCTTGACTTGCTGAATGGGAGTGAGAGAGGATACCAGGAAAAAGTAAGTTCTAAGAAAACAAAGGCCTTCTCAAGGAGGGCCCAAGGACATAGCTCCAAGTTCCTCCCCATGGTGATTCAGCTCTTATGAATTTGTAGAAACTTAACGTGGGACCTGGAAATGAATGCTTGTTTCCACTCCTGTAAAAGCCAAGCCCACTTCTCCACCTTGATTCAAATTGACCAATGAGAAAAGCCCCCATGGACTAGAACTTTTTGACTGGAGATAAAAAGGAGAAGACTGAGCCAGTCGGGAGTGCAGGCGTTTTGGAACCCTGTGTGTGTGTTGTTCCGTGGCTAGAATAAAGCCCTTCCTCTTTTAAACACAGTGTTTGGGTGTTTGTTCTCTCCATTGGGCCTTGTCTTCCTGCAACAGGAGCAGATTTTATGAAATACTTTGATATTGTCTATGTTAGGTAATAAAGTTTTTACTGAATGGAGTCTAGTGTGAATATAAGACTTTACTGTGAAATTTTGAATGTGTTCTGATAGGTTGCTAGAATGTTGAAATGCAA